CCCCCCCTGCCTCAACTTATTATCAAAACCAGCAACCCCCCTCAGGAAACTTTCAGAATTACAATCAGTTGAAAAGTAGCATCCCATCTCAACAAACTGTATTTCCCTCTGGACCAAATCAAGCACTTGCTGGTACCACATGTCAGCAGCCAGTTTCAGGGCACCATGTAAACAGTGGGCATTTTTTGCCATCTCAGAACCCCAGTACTCACCATCAGACTCCCATAGTGGGTGCGCCCCCTCCCCCTCCCCCTCCCGCTGCTCCAGGACCACATCTTGTGCAGCAGCAAAGTACTCATCAGCAGCATGCAGTGGCCCATGGGGTAAGTCCAGTGCACGCCGTAGCAGTGGCTGCTGGTTCACACATCCATTCTCAAGCTGCCAGTCATCACCTGCCGCCGCCACCACCTCCTCCTGGTCCCCTTCCTCATCACCTTCCTACTCATCCCACAACAGGTCATCAAGGTTTGCAAGCACAACACCAGCATGTAGTAAGCTCAGCACCGCCACCGCCGCCGCCGCCGCCGCCTTCCAACGTATTAAGCTCCGGTCATCACACAGCCTCGGCACAAGGACTGCATCATCCATCTCATCAGGGGCCCTCCCTTTTTCCGTCAAGTGCTCATTCAGCGGTGTCGACTTACCCGTCACAGCCTCCACATCATACACCTTTGGGATCTGGACCTCAGCATCAGCCAACTGGAACGGGGCCTCACTGTCCACTCCCAGGCCAGGGCGCTCACATCCAGCCTCAAGGACCAACCAGTATTCCAACCCCTCCCGCTTCGGGGTTCTGTCCTCATCCCGGCCCTGTCTCCCTTCCTCATGGCGTGCAAGGACCTCAGCAGGCATCTCCAGTGCCCGGGCAAATACCTATTCACAGAGCACAGGTGCCGCCAACGTTTCAAAACAATTATCATGGTTCAGGGTGGCATTAAGGTGGACCCCTTGCTTCTAAACATTTTAAAAATGTTCTGTAAAAACTGTATATTTCATATGTACCTGTTCAAGGTACTTTTTAAAGCTTGTACATTATACTTTGTATAAAAACGAACACCAGTGCGCGCGTGCTTTCATTGTATTCTTTCCAGTTTTGCTTTTAAAAATCCCTAAAACTGTGCAGTTAAGCCAGTATTAGGCATTTTTTATTTTGTACATGAACATTCCAGCTGTTTGTTCTGGCAGTAGATTTGTTGCTGCATAACTTTAAATTTTATTGTTGCAGTTAAATTCATTTAGTGAATGTTTTCTATATTTACTTTTTATACATATGTAATTAAAAAGTACACAGCTAAGTGACGGCACTAACAGATTTTTCATCTGTCAACAGTTTTTGTGTGCATATAGATAGAAGATGCAATACAGATTTTTATAGTTTGGTGTGGACATGGCTCTTTTATTTTCAATACTTATTTTCAGACATTGTAATTTAATGTATAGATTGTTTCTAATGTCTCTGACAAGTGCTGTAAATACTGTTTCTTTTGCGTGTAAAACTGCTTAATGCTTCTCATTTGATATAGTATTGTACATACAAGTCTTTTGCAAAAGCGTGTGATCTTTGTGGAAGTAGTACAGTATATGAACTTTAATTTTTTAATATACTGTCACATTGCAGCACTGGTTGGGCATTTTAATTCATGTTAATAAATCACAATTATGTCAGTTTTAACCATCTGTGTTGCTACTTTGCTGTTTAAGACAACTACATTGAAACGATAGCAATAGAATGATGTTGCTAGTGAGTCATAGTACCTTGGCTGTTCCAGGGGATGGAGTCATTCAGCAGACTAACCTTGCACAAAGGACGCTTGTGCACACTGAGCGAAGCAGCAAACGCAAACGTGGAACCAGTTAGTCTATTCACCAAAGAAATTAATAGCTGGCAGTCGTTCATTGCCCAATATAACAATGCTGTCTCGAGGAAAGTGTTAAGTGTGCTATTTATCAAGTGACATTCTTAAACTCTATATAATAAATGCATCATAGCTCCAGATGAGACTTCATCATACCTCGAGCCTCTGCTGGACTACAGCTCCCAGAATGCCATCCACATCTGGGGAGCACAAGGATGGGAAAGGCTCTTCCACGCTGGAATAGCTAGGCAGATCGTAGCAATGTTACATATTCTATCTCCAGGCTACAGATCTTGCCTGTGTTGTTGGTACTGATAAACCTGGTAATAGAACAACGAAGTATACTGTGGCAACACAAACTTTAGCCAGTTACTACGATTTCAGCTTCCGTGAACTAAGGCCATTCCATCCTTGAGTGTTTATACCATGATAAGCATACCATAATATGCCGAGTGAGAAGTATCTCATTCCTGGACGGGAAGAGATGTATTTACATGAAGCAGGATTTCTTCTTGCCTGCTTCAGCAGTTAGATGAACACGATAAAGGACTTCTCAGGCAGGTTATCTAGGTGGAATTCGCCGCTTTCAATGTTTCACGAGGTGCCACGTGCCACCCCCCCCCCCCGCCAGGGCTTCAGAGAGAGCTATAAAAGCAACCCAATAAGCAAAGCTGTCACTGGGGAACACGCAGGGTCAAGCAGCAACTCGTCTTTTTAAAAAATTGCTGGGTGGGGTCTTTGCTGGGTCAGGCAGCCAATGTCAAATTGAGCTCCAGTAGCAACTTCGACTATGCTTCGTGTGCTGCTGTGCACGGCTCCATGGAAATGTACCCTGTCTCAGTCAGATGTAAAATTACCCCCTTTTATATACCGTGCAGAAGTGGAATACAGTGTGCAAATGATAATAAGGGACCAGCTGCACAAACGAATGCGACCTGCTCCGTAATCTTGTTCTCCGCCCCCCTCCACGACGTTACCCCAACTGGGAGAATTTCAGTGCAGGGCAAGGGAAGTCACCATCTGCTTCCTTCCTGTGCTGGGTACATAGCCAGTCCGGGCAAGGCATTACGAGGTGATCTATTGATCAGGTTCTTTGCCAGGTGGTTAATCCATAATCAATGGATAGTGAATGCAAGACTGTTCATCTGAAGTTACATGCATCCTTCACAGTGGGGTTGGTCTAAAGCAATTTATGATGCATGGTTTTTGGAAATGTGGTTTCTACTGATAGTCCTTTATGGTCTCTGCCTAGTTGCACCCGCAGAGCCTACCCAGAATCCACACGTGTGACTGCACAGAAGATCTCTTGAAGAGCGACAATTACAAATAAGCATTCTATCTCCTAGCACCACATTTGCTGCAAATGAATGAATTCAAGTGGGCCTTCTGGAATTTTGAACCTGGCATACAAAGGCTGGGATAACTATTAGGAGTTGCTCTGCTTTGAGTTTTTTTTTTTTTAAATAAACGTTTGAAAATAAAAAGGCAAACATTTCTGCAGCAACTGCCATTTGATAGTTTTTCTAACAAACACCGAGCGAGTAAACCGTTTGCATTTGCCGCTACCAAAACAATCCAGGGAGCAATACAATTCTGAAAAAAAACCAACCACTTTAATTAAGACAACTGCAAGCACCTCAAACAATTATTGTTACAACATGGGGGATCGTTTCACAATCTAGGTATTGCAAAGGCATGTGAATAAGTTTAAAATGGACAAAGTGGCACCATAATTAATGTGTAAAACCAGAAATAAATTTACATTCATTCCCACTGACTTTTAAAAGAGGCTAAAAGACACCTCCATATTTTACATTCTAAAATCTGTATTGCCTAGGAGTTCTCTTTTGGAATCTACTTGCTTTTATTCTTTTAATACAAAAACACCTAACTTTTGTGTGCAACTTACAAAGGAAGATTAGTTCCTCAATATGTCAATCATGGGAAAAAAATAAGCTAGTGCAATTTGTTTCTGAAACATGTAAAGCTATGAATGGAAGGTGCATGATCTTTCATTTTAACGTAAGGTTTGTATCATTTCTGCTTTTTTTTCTCCATTAAGAGGGCTACCTTTTTGTCATCGACAGTGAACAATTCTGCACAAGAATGCTTCCAAGGTTTTCTTTAAATTCTTAAGCCTAACATAGCAACTACTCTTACGAAAAAGCAGTTCTCCCTTGCTACGCCATCACCTCACAACTGGAAAGCAAATGACACCTTATTAAAGTCACTCAAAAATATATTTTTACTCTTCGAACACTTTAGTCTTCCTTTAAAGTGCCTCCTGGAGAATGAAATCTTAGAAATCAAGAGCCACCTTCTTTCAAAATCCAATATGAGCAGCACTACAGAAAAGGAAGTTTACGCAACTCCCAAAGCAAACCCACTACATGCAATTTGTACACTAAAGTCACTTTCAGTTTAGTAGCTTTACTCTGAAATTTGTGCCCCATCCCATTTTTAATGGAAATAAACATTTACAGGGTGCATTTACATACGCTATTTTACAAGAACAATGTCCCTTTGCTTGAAGATAGAATTGTACATTTCCAAATTCTGACTTGATAATGTCTCACACTTGTAAATTATATAATATTCAGCTAAAATATTTTCCATAAATAGTTACAAACCTGCCAAAACACATAAGGGAGAGAATAAAGGAGATTTTGTTCAAAAAGTTGATGTCTGAATTCCACACAACACAAGAAACAATGCTTAAAGACACATAGTAAGTGTTTTTTTGGAGACAGTCAGTAGAACTACTAGCTGAAGACAAAAAGACAATCCTCCTCTTCTCCTCCTCCTCCTCCTCCTCTCCTCCTCCTCCCAAGAACACAGTGCACGAAAAAGCAAAATGTCAAACAGTACCTCAAAGTAAAATAAAGGTCTGGGGTTGAAGCCAGCTCATTTACGATCCTGTTAAGAGCATTTATGACAGTCACCATTTAAGTTTGATGCATGGGAAAGTGGGTGCTGGCCCAACATGAGATCCAAGGCCTCTGCTAAGAATTCAACCAAGGGTGCCGAAGGCATTCGCCAGCTGAGGCTCGTTTTTCTGGAACCATTTCTAGCATCGGAATCAGGAAATCGGTAAACTCTGCGGCATCTTCCTGAGGCCAACCATATTTCTCTACTAGAACATCAAATAGGCTCCATGGTTTCAGTTTGGTAATGTGTCGAAGTTCTCCTGTGTTTATTAAAAGGTGGAGGAAAAAGTATTAGTTTATTTAATATTTTATTTATTTATTTATTTAATAGACTTGTCCCCGCCCATCTCCCCACAATGCGGAACTCTGGGCGGCTTACAACAAACTAAAATCAGAAATACATGAATTAAAAGTTATAAAAAAACCC